TGGGCGTGGCAAAGTACTCGGCGAACTCTCTGCAGTTGATGGTGGCTGACATGAGGATTATCTGCCCAAAATTCATAGTTTTACAAACACAAGACGAAGTTATGTTTCTAGGATGCACTAATCACTGATATATATCACCGGAATGGACATCATGTGGCACACATGCGCTACTGCTATGCATAAACAAACAAACTCAAACTGAAGACTTTTTTAGGTTGTTTTGGAGGAATTTTAAGACCAATATATCCACAGAAATGTATGAACGTTGTCCAGCCAACTGGTGATAAATTTATAGATGATAGATGCAAAACAGTGAGCGAGCTAGCAAGGGTTCATTAGCACCGAGCTCGACCATCAGTAGAGCAAGTGTTTAAATTTAAACCACCATTTTCTTCATGCGACCACATATTGATAAATATTTTTTTTTTTTTGGTGTTGATTCCTTATACACTTGAATGTAATCTCTCTTCTGAAGGCTAGTGGAGCTGTTGTCAGTCGGTTCCCATGGCAACGGGTCTGCATGTCGAGTAAAGCTGCCACAGACAGCATGGAAAAAATTAAAGAAGTGATTTGGAGCCGTTCGCATTACTTTCTTTGTTGTGGCTTTGTTAAACGACAAGAAACTGGACTAATTTCCTAATTTGTTCGATGATCGTGGCGATATTGATAATCATCAAAAGGGATGAAATGTTTCATAAATGGTTTGTTTCATAATTTTACCGAAGTATGGCAGCAATTACAGCGACAATTATGTAAAAATATACAAAAAATACAAACATAAGATCACTTGTATCGTCCGGCCTCTCTTGCATTTTTGATAGGACAGAATCCAAAGTCTCATAGAAATATCTAAGGAGAATGCATTTTACGTTTTAAATCATCACTTTTCTCAGCTTTAATTCAAACCACATTTTATAAAACTCGGATAAGAAATAAGGACGGAACAACCATTTTTGTGGCAGATTCCTGCTCATCCAGCTTTAGTTTTGTTTGCATGACCCAAAGGATAGTAATGCAGCTGCACGTCATTAGCTTTAGCAGCTAACAAGTAACATATTGATGGCACTAGTTACCTTGACATGACGAGAGTTGGAATGAAGGAGTTTTCTCAGCACCAACAATAGAAAGTCCATCTCTTCGCTGCGCTCATGAACCTTGAAGTCAGAGACATAAAAAGACTTCAGAACATCTTCTGTATATTCCTACATATCACATCTTTTAAATATTATGAGAATGAGGCAATTTTCTGTCAACACAAAACTGTTTTCCCCACAAAAAAAAACAAAACAAAACAAATCTCTGGAAACATGCCCTCAGGTTTCAGTCAATATTTACTGAGGCAGCAGCTGTCCAGTGAAAACAAAGGGCAGTATGATAAAAACCGATATTACATGAATAATATTTCTCAAAACAAAACAAAAAACACGACAAGACAAGAAAACACTGGAGATATAATCTCTGGAGGACAGGATGATGCAGGACAAAATGCATAAAAGCAAATCTTCTGTCCACATACCTCATCTACAAAAATGTGAGAGTACTCTGTGAGAGATTTGGCCAACACCAGCTTTTGCAGCAGAACCCCCGTGGTCATGTAAATTAGTCGAGTGTGCTCTGTGGCCATTTTCTCCAGTGCAACCTAAAAAAAAAACAGAAAATAGAAACATACACAGTTATAGCTGTAAACAGAATAACAGGTCAGTCAGTTGTTTTTGCTGAATGATAAATTGTCCCAGAAATTATTGGGATAAACGATTAATATTGTTGTTTTGAGACCATTTTCAAGAAATGTAATGGTGCACACTCTAAGTCCATCCTGCAACTTTCAGATGCGTCCCTGTTCCAACACACCAAATGAACAGCTAGTTACCAGGCCTGATCCAGTCTGTTTCATGTAATTAACAAATTAATTGACAACTTGCCTCATTTTTGAAAACCATTGTGGTTCTAAATTCCCATGCTAGTCATACTTGCATTTAATTGTTTGAAAAGATTGAATCAGACTTCTGAAAGCCAACATTCCTTTTCCTGATGTATGCAAAGGAACAACTTGAACAAATATTCTGGTATTAACTAATATAAGTACCACTGGTAATCCAAACTAACCTGATTTTTAATTTCTAAATAAAGCCAGAATTTACAATCGCTCACTAGTTCGCAGGTGTACCAACCTGATATCCCACCAGACTTCCCAGGATGCACTTCCTCTGAGCAGCAACCCAGCGAGCGATACTGGTGGCTCCAATCTTGCGTGGCTGCGTGACCACGATGTTGCAGGAGGCGGTTTTCTCATTGTAGTGGTCCAAAATGAACTGCGGCAGCTGAGTGGTCTTGCCACTGCCTGTGGCTCCGCGAACGATCACAACCGAGTTGCTTTCTATGAAGGAGATCAGCTGCAAGCAGATGAGGACAGTTAAAGTGAAACTTCTGGGATAAAGAGTCATGTCACTGCACATAAGTTACACTGAAACAGAATACAGTGCATTGGTGATTGTTTTTAAACATATTGTGTTTGTCCAGAAACTGAAACTGGGCCGGTATTTCAAGCCAATGTTTTGATTTTCTAGACATTTGTGAGTGTTTCATAAGGGTGGGGGCTGCCCATGTGCTATTTGTTATACAATATTAGAAAAACATTCCATAAATTACATTTTACAACAACAAAATAAATGTGTTATTGCCTAAAATGCAACAATATAGAATTAATTTAGAGTAAAGCTTGATCACTTATAGAAAATTATGCATCTGCAGCTAAAAACATATTTCTACTGTGAAACGCTCAGATTTTTCTGCTTGACAAAAAAGTGCAGGGCTGATTCGTTTATTATTCACTTTTAGACCAACAAAGCTTAATATGATTTTTGTCCTTTTTACACAATTTGAATGAGGTGAACCTAAAACTATTACACTCTTTGGATAAAACATATTTACAGACAAAGGTGTTTTTTTTCCATCTTAAATGCAATACATACATACATTTGACCTATTTTGTGTCTAAACATTCTAGTTAGTCATTAATCAATTATTAAACTTGTTGACAGTAATTAAAATGATCGATTCATCCCAATTAATCCAATAAATTGTTTTAGTCTTATAAAACATGTAATACTGGTAAATATTGGTGATCAACCATAAGAGCGATATTATCTAACATTGGGTAAAATCCTCATATCGACGCTTCTTTAATGGATGTTCTAAGCAGATTTATGGCCGTATGCAATTATATTTTACTGACATTAGAAGGCAAAAAGAGCCAACGCTTGAATAACTCCATTGATATTCAATGTGGGCTCCTGCTGCACAAGCACATACAAGGATAACTGCACTTCTTTGAAGCAAACATTAAGACTTAGTGTGCTTCTGTCCTGAGGACATAATGTCAATTTAAGTAAAACTCTGCAATGACCCAAAAAATAAAGTGCAGGAGGAAAATGCATTAGTTACCTGCTCCTTGTCTTTGGTTATGGGTAAGCTTGGGCATTCAAAGCTGGAGCCGGGAGAAACAGGAGGAGGACCTAAACATTCAAAACAGTGACTGAGGAGGTAAAATTACAACAATCTGGGGCTGTATGTGGGTGGGATCTGCTGTTTGAAAGGCCATCAGGTAATCTATCACTCACTGATTGAAGGTTCTGGGTTTTGGGTCGTTCCGACATGGGCTTTCTGGCTGGAATCGTCGGGTTTGTCCGAACTGAGAGCACCAACATAAGCAGTCACACATTGCTATCCTAAACGTCTGCCTTTATGTCCTGGCAACGCAGTGGAGTTCCGTTTGGGTTGCTAGGCAACGCAGTGGAGTTCCGTTTGGGTTGCTAGGCAACGCAGTGGAGTTCCGTTTGGGTTGCTAGGCAACGGCTCGGCGTGGCTGGGGTTGCTAGGCAACGGCTCAGTGCCCTTCCATTGTGATTTAATCTTGAGGCTTTTGAAACGTTTCCATTTTCAGACACCAAAAAACAATAAATTGTTGCCCAAAAACAGCTGTTTTTTTAAACGCGCGTCATGGTTACTTTCGTTTGTAATTTTGAGACTTTGCTCTGGTAAAATTGCATCGTTGTTCTGCTAATATGTTAATTAAATTTGAAAAAGTATTGTAGTCTGGCCTTAAAGCAACTCTCAGGACGGTTAAAATAAATAAAAACCACTTTTTGAAAATATTTTGTCTTTTGTATTTTCAGAAAAATAGATTAAAATTAAAAAATAAATTGATCCCATAGAGAAATTAAATGTTGTAACTCATCAATTCAGACTCTTCAAAGTGTTATTGTTGGCAGGAAAGTTTTCCCATGAAGAAGATAATCATACTGATCAATAGTATGACCATGATTTTATTGCTATTATTATTATTGAATATAGTATAGGCCTGTCACAATAACAATTGTTTTCTGGACGATAAATTATCCCAGAAGGTATTGCAATAAATTATGATATTGTTATTTTGAGACTACTTAAAAGTAATACAATGGTAACGACATAACATTCTCAAAGACCAATAAACTTTAATTTCTAATGAATATTTAACACAGGGATATTTTAAATATCAAAACTAAACTAAACAATGAATTATAAAGTTTGTGTCCTTCAAATAAAGGTCTAACTGGGACTAGAAGCCCAGACGGGAGACTTTTGATATCCAGTCTATGTTAGAAAATTATAAATAATGCAAATGGAAATTATTGAGCTCGTTTTAATTTATCATGAGATATGCCTAATCTACCACACTAGCTCCTTCACTTAAACTCTCTCCTCCTCTTGCTATCCTTTTGAATTTCCCTCTGGCTCAGCCAGGCCGTTCGCGCTGTGGCCTGAGGAACAACGCGCCTCGCAGTGTGAGCAAGCCGAGCGTTTCAATGCAAACAGACCGCAATAAGAGGGCTTGAACAAAATACACCCACGGCTTGTGAGCACACATGCACTCTCACCCTTTCTCTCCACTGCACACATATCGTGGAAGATACAAAGCAGATGACCTTACAACAAAGCTGCACACTCCACAGAGGAGAGTGAGGTGAAAGGATAGGAGAGGTGACAGCTCTTAGTCAGTTAGCAGCGTGCGACTAACTCTCCCCGACAAAGTCTGTGTGACGGGAGCAGTGGGAGGACAAGACGATCACCGCAGAACGGAAAAAAGAATAAAAGAAGAAGGAGAAAACAGTCCAGGACTGCAGCCGAAACTAAGCGTTTACCACCAAAAGTAGATTTATAGAAGCGCAACGCTGGAGGTGCACCATGTGAACAGCTCATCTTTGCCAAGTCTCTAAAAGCTTACAGCAGAGTCAGCAGTGCAGTGTTGTTTCACCAGTGAGTACGGATTTATTTTCTTTGAAATTTCAGTCTTATGTGCATGTGCAAACCCCTTCTGACGCCCTAAAGGCTCTGCTGTGTGTTATTCAAACACCACTATGCAGTTTTGATGAGTCTGACCTTGGACCCCGCAGGCGGTAACAGAAAGAGTCACACTGACAAATCTGGGACAAATCAGAGCGCCGCCTGACTTGAAGTGAAAACCGTCATTGAACCGAGCAGAACTGAGGTCGCGTTGCTCATCGGTGTCAATATTACAAAAGATTTACCAAAGATTCACTCAAAATACTGAAATATAGCCACAGAATGATTATCTGTATTTATTGTCAACTAATTTAGCAATTAACAGACACTAAAAAGGCCAACTGCTGAACTAACATATTTAGAGCACTAATTAGGTCAAAACTGTACATAAACATGCAAATATTTTTTATTTAAGATGAATAAAAACAAATCTTTGTCTGTAAATAAGTTCCTGCTCAAGTGGTATAGTTTTAATTTAGCCTGGTTGAAATTCTGTGAAAAAAAGCTCATTTTTCTGCCTTATCAATCTGTTAATCCAAAAACTTAGCGACCGAGTCGCCCCACATTGTATCAACATTAAGTCAACGAGAACAGGATTTTCACAAGTTAATGTGACTTTTCAGCTGCAGATGAATATTATCGTATACTAAACTGATTACGTTTCAGGCAATAAAATATGTTTCATTTAAAACAGGACTTGAATAAATTGTTCAGTGCATTTCTAATAGAGCTCTAATAAGTTTAAGTGGTAAATTGGACAATCTGCAGAATGTGCAATAATTTTTAAATCTGACAGTGAAACATAATCGATTACTAAAGTAATTTAGCTGTAGCCCTGCATTTCAAAGATTCAAATAAATTCAAAAATACTTGATCGCAAAGAAAAATTAAATTAAAAAAATGAAAATGATAAGAGCTTCAATAAAATAAAATAAAATCATGACCCAATTTAATTTTTTTTTCTTTTATAAAGCACTTTATATGCAACAAAATTTCACTGTAAAAAGTTTTAACTTTCTATTGAAGACAGATTAATTCTCATTTCCTCAGTTTTCAGGGCCTATTCGCATAAAGAGCAATGCCTCTGTTCGGCTGGATGAAATGGTCGACTCAAACGAGAGCGCAGCCTCGATCTCCAAGCAGAGCGGAGCCTGTGCCCGGCCGTATGTTGCTCACAGAGCTGCTGTGGCACCTGGAGGAACGAGAACGTCTGGCGAGACAACTGGAGCGGGAGAACCGGCTGGCCCACGGCGCCCTGGGTCTCCGCTGGTTCCAGAAATACCCCAAACTACGAACCCTGGTCTCATCGACAGAGCTACACCAGCTGGAGTTCCTCTGCTCACAGGTTCCACCTGTCCACACAGCCACCATCGTCTCCAGGTTGTTTTCTTGTTTCTATGTCAACAATATCAGCACAACTTAGAGCCAAGCTCGGCCCTCGGATCGCAGATTTCCCCTTTGCCACTTGAATTTCAGAAAGGTTGCCATTTTTCAAGATGGCCACCTTTTTAAACCACGTATTACCATAAATTATCTACATTCATGTCATGGACTAACTTTATGTCACATCGTGTGTTTATCACTTTCTTCATACTGTACGACTGTAAAGTAACACGTAGCAAAATTGGACACCAAAAATGTGAGACTTTGCCGTTTGTAAATCTCACACTGGTCGTTAACTGGAAGGAGGTGAAGATGTGAGACACAAACCAAAAGACAGCTGTCTTCATGTTTAGCGTTAGCTTTTGCTATTTTTTTTTGCTGTGGTTAGCGTAAACTTTTGCTAATTTTATTGTGTAAGAGTTCAGCAAAATTTTTGCTAATTGTTTTACATAAACATCCATATTTTTTGTACTTGGTGGTTTACTGTAAACTTATGCTGTTTTTTTGTAGGTTTAGAACTTTAGTACAAGCTTCTGCTAATTGTTGTGTGTTCAGTAGTGCAGCATAAACTTAAGCAAATTCTTTTGTGTATTTAGAGGTTTAGCACAAGCTGTTGCTAATTCTTTTGTTTGTTTAGCGATTTAGCATTTGATTCAACAAAAATTTTTTTGTGTGCTTAACGGTTTAGTAGAATAGCCAAGACTCTTGTTCGGTGAATTAGTGGTTTGTGTACCCAACTTTTTGGTTAGCTGTGCTCATCAGCCCATCATAACAACAATGGCGGCCACTTTGAAAAATTATCCACCAGAAAAAAAATCAGAAAATATCTATGATTTTTTTTCAGCTCAAAATATTTAGACACCAAGTGCAACAATAATTTTTCCATGGCAACTATCTTGATAAAAAATATACGCATCAGTAAATATTTCTACGATTAATTAGGTATGATTTTTCTCAAAAAGTATTTATTTGTGATAAATATTTGCAAATTTAATAGAAAAATATATTTCCTGCATGCATGAAAGCATGCAGGTTATGTTCTTTTGTCCACATGTAAAAGATTTTATTAAAATACTCAATTATCTGTTGCACTGGAGGGTTAATAAGCGTTTAATGTGTGAACATGAAAGGTCTGAAAGGCTTCATGTGGCGTGACTAGAAGGGTTTCCCCTCAGTTTTTAGCTAGAAAGGGAAAAAAGGATGAAGAGCACATGGCTGAGCAGCGCTGTGACCCATTTATTACACAAAACAACTCACAGCCGGGTCATTAATGTGAGCTTATATAACCAAAACATAAAAAAAGAAGAAATGGCACTACTGAGATGTTTCTGTCGCCTTTTTATGAATCTGTCCCATCTTAAAAATGCCATTCTTCATACACATTTGTAAGGCTGGGAGATAAAAAAAAAATAAAAAAATCTCCCAGATCCAATTTTGCTGTAATGCTATAATTATTTTCTTGCTTTCTCCACTAAAAAAGAAAATTACAAATGACAGAAAATATTTTCAAAAAGCAGTTTTGATTTTTATCATCCTTGTTGTGAGTTTCACGTTTAGGACTGTTTAGGACCACTTTTTTTTTTGTTTAAATATAAGAATATAGCTGTAATAAAGAACGTCATAAAATTACAAAAAGCTTGAGAAAAAAGCTTTAAGAAAATTATCTCGATCTGCCGTGAGTCAGTCAGTCCATGTGGTTCTTTCTTCAAAATAGACAATAATTTGCTCAAATGTTTCAAAATCCTGCTACTTATAACAATTAGATGCTGATATCTAAAGTGTTTCCGTACTTATAAAACGTACACCAAAGTATAACTTCAAAAAGATGCTCTATATTTCTAATTTTTATTTTATGCCAAGTTATTTTAATACTTCTACTTCATTCTCCCAACATATTACTAGAATAAAGTCATAAACAGTTTATTTTCATATTATTTTGATTTTATTCTCATAAGACCCTACTTTTGTAATATTCTAACTTTCTTCTCACAATATAAAACAAATATTAAATCGTAGCCCGGTCAGACAAGATGGCAGCCCTGCGTGTGCAGACATCACTTCAAAACATGGAAACGCAAGGAGTGAATTGGTACAAAAAATAATACAGATTTTCCAAAAATGTAATCAATACTGATTTATGAATAAAAAAGGAAAAATCCATAAAAACTAGAGGTATTAACTACATTCTGATTGAAATAAATGGTAAAATAAAATGTCATTGTTTCTAAATTTTTACAGGTTTCGCGAAGTGATCGCCACCAGCGACGTACGGCCCTGGGAGCTGGCGACCGTCTTCAAACACATCCTGATCGACTTCCTCAACCAAAGACAATATATTGAAGAAGAAGGCCTATCAACGGAGGTCTGGAGCAGCCAGTACAAGAAGCAGGGCTCTGTCACTCCCATAATGCCCCAGGGCGGAAGTCATGAAAGGGAAGAGATCCCAACGGTCTCTGGGTACGTGGATCGGGCCATGCGCCACTCAAGTTCGTTCACACCCAGCAGGGTCTGGGATCTTCCGTACTACTACCCTGGGCCTCTGAGACCCAAAGGAGAGAGTACAACACTGTGAGAAGATACACCACCGTGTGGAGAAATGTGAAAATGTCCTGTGATATGCCAAGGATCAATTCTGTGAAAGATATTTCTCCCCCAACAGGTAGTTTACATACTACTGAAAACCCCTCACTTGAGTTTGCATTGTACCAGAGGGCTGCAGCAATCTTGTAGTAACTGTAAATATGAAGAAAATGCTTTCATTATTAACATTTGAGATTTTTTTCTGTCTCTGTAGAGTTTTTATGATGCAAGAAAAACAAAACAAAAACTAAAGAAGTCACTATTTTCCTCTAAACATTTTTAAAAATCTCAAGGGTCTGGCTTTCGTTATCCAACATACCGCAATAAAATAGGATTGGACAATAAATCAATAACATATATCAGGATAGACAAATGATCAATATCAATAGAACTGCACAGCATTCTGGGAGATGTAGTCAGAGGACAACCTTCAGCCTCTCACAGGTTGGTGGAATCAACTAACCCACTCGCTCTTTGGTTACCTAGCAACAACCTCTGGAGTAACTTGCACAGCAGCAGTTTCAGGTTTTACCACCGTACCTCAAAACTGCTTAAAAGTGTCAAGTGAAAACTGTGCGTAATAGAGAAAAGGTCATCGGTTTGATAATATTTCACATATTTTCAACAAAAAAAAAACGATAAATAATTTTCAACAATTATTGATACAGACTGATGTGAAAGTCTAATATCATAATAGGATTTTCCAGCCATACAGTCCAGCCCTGCAATAAACAATAAAAAAAAAAACATCTAGTTTAGGCTGTCATGTCAGTGTGGCTGCTTTGTACAACAATTTTAAATTGAAATTTTATGTCCAAGTCTGTTACAATAATCATTAAATCAAACACTCTATTAAAATGAGCTCAATAATTTCCATTCTGATTGATATTTTTCGAAAGGTAATTTTTTTTTAGAAACATCACAATCCATTTCATTTATGGTTTTGGTTGTGTATGATTTTTATTTATTGTTTTGTGTTGTAGAGTGTTTCTTTTTTGGCTTTTTAAAATGTCTTCCAGTTGCAGAGTGGACAGTTCTGCACAAAATTAAAGTTTATAAGGGCAAACTTCCGCTTTTATTACATTAGTATCATATTAATTGAAAATGGTCTCAAAACAATATTATTGTTTATTTTTAATAGTAATAATTTACTGGGCAGTTTATCATTCAGCAAAATTTGTTATTGTGTCAAGTCACAAAAAGCTTGATTTCCTTTTACATTTAATACCATAATATGTTTATTTCCTGTTGATCCAAGACAGAAACAGCTGGGATTAAAATGCAATTTACTTTTATTTATGTTCTTCATGAAGCAACTCTGCTTTGGACCTTTGGTTTATTTCCAATTAAATTTGTACTAAGAAAATGTGTCCATGTGACAACAATAATTATTAGCACCAGATTTTTGTAGAAGCATGTATATATTCGTTATAAAAGTAAAAAAATTTCCAACAAGCATAGTTTAATGAAATGATATGAACTCTGTTTCACATTTTATAATTTTCACAAAGTAGTGATTATTTGCAGGAACGTTTGTTTTATGATTATCCTAATGTAACACAGTTAAAATGGTTCAGGTTAAATCCTGCTAAAATGTGTTTCATAGTTGTTCTGGAATGAGGTTTACAATTTATTGCATATTTCAAGGTGAGCTGAGGGGAACAAATTAATCCAGAATTTTGAATGTTAATTACATATTTCTGGTTTCACAAATCAAGTTATACATCTTTTAGCACTTTTTTTTTTACGAACATTGCTAATCGAGGTCTGTTAGTTTTAACGTGAAATCATACATTTTATGTTACAAGCTGTGACTTTAGAGAAAAAAAAATATATGTATAATTTATTGCCAGATAAACCATGAGAGGATTTGCACATTTACGTTTTACAAATTTTAAGTAGCCGTCAACTGGAAGCGCAGTAGTTTCTGAAACCGCCGAACATGACCATGTGCCGCTAGCTAGCTAAGGATAGCTAATGCTAGCTAAAAGTTTGTTGCGCAGTTTTGTAATTTTTCTTACCTGGTCTCTGCCGGAGTAGAGCTTTCGGTTTTGGTCTGTTTGAGGTTCAGTGTAGCGAGTGCGGTCCCTGACGTGAACCATTTGGAAATCTGTTCTCCTGTAAACGTTGGCTTCATGATGGACGTGACCGTCACTCGCCAGGCTCAGTGCCAGAGAAGGGACTGATCAGCGACGACTGACGTCATCGCGCAAGCTCAAGTTCGAGTTGCTCAGCAACCAATACATATAGATCTAGATACAGAATGGACGCCATCTTATAACTATCTCTTTTTCAGATGCAGGAAGAACCACTTCATCTTCTACAGAACCCACCAAGCAAAGGCTTTTCTTGCAGATATATCTTTTTTTATATTCAATTTCTCCTCTTTTTTCAACTGAATCAAAAAAGATTGCAAGAAGTTGTACACAAAATTTAATGGTTATAAAGCAGTTCAGAGGTGAAACATACTGGCTGTACATTTTAATATGATAGAACAATAAAATGTTCATTAATAAGGTGATCTCTTGACCATTACAGCACCAGATAACAGTATTTAAAAATTACAAACATCCATATGTGGCCTGAGAAAAAAAGTGACCAAAATAAACCCAACATGTTTTTATGACAAGGATATTGGGAACATAAGTTCATTTCTACCTGATAGTAGTAAGAAAATAGCTACCACAACTGGAATCACAAAGTTGGATAAAAAAATTTAATTTGATTTGAAAACTTTAAGTTGAGACTTTACATCATATCTGGCGGCAGGATCGCAGAGTCGTCTCGCATCAGGCTGATCTCCGTTCTGAGTTTTTCATTTTCCTTCAAAACAAAAGCAGTAATTTGATGCCGTCATATTTTATGCCACCAAAACTTTCATAACAAGAAAGTTTACCTCTTGTAGTCTGGTATTGTCCTTCTTCAGTTTGACCAGGTACTCAATCCTCTGCTTGTGGTTCTTATGTCCGACTAGTTTTCCGTTCTCCTCGGAAAGTTTTTCATTCTGCCTGCGCAGAACCTCATTCTCCTGTCAGAAACAGATTTTACAAAATCAGTGGTGTTCCTGCTGGTCTTTATGGAAGAAGATATGAGAAGACTAATACTTTAAATATTCCCTTCTTCCTCAACATCATCAGTAAAAATCATCAGATTTTGATGTGGTTGGTTCATTTATGTTTTTGTCTTTTATGATTGTCAGCTAGAAAAACCTACGCAAGACGATTAAGGTCACCGAGGGAAAATTTGTGACTTTTTTTTATCAGAATTTTGACTTTAATCTTCTAACAAAAATCTGAATTCTGAGGGGAAAAAGTCAAAATTCTGACAAAAAAAATTCTGAGGAAAATATTATGAGGGGGACAAAAAATAATTCTGGAATAAACAGTCAGAATTCTGAGAATAAAAATTGTTGAGGAAAAGGTGATTTTTTTCACAGTTTTGCCTTAATTATTGCTTGTGTGTTGTTCCCAAATAATTGCTGATTATTTCAATAACCAATTCATTGCAATTAATCATTTCAGTCCTATTCAGAAGTAGTACCAGCAGGGTGCCAGTCATTGTGCACGGCCTTTTGAATTTCCACTTCTTTATTTTCAAGCTGGTCTCCGGTTCTTACCTGAAGGAGTTTCTCCTCATCGTGAACCCTCAGGTTTAGTTCTCTCAGCTCCAAGCAGCGGTTCCTCAGCTCAGTCGTTAACTCTTGAATGCAAGTCTGAGACTGAGCAAAGGAAGATTCCTGCTCTTGCAATCTAAGTAATAGAAACGAAGAACAAACCTCGTCAAACATCGTCAAAATATTAAAGTAAAGTCAGGATTCCTTTTACAAATTACTCAGCGCTTACTTTCGTTGAGCAGCAGACAGCCTCTGCAATATTTGGTTCTGGAACAGAAAAATCATGTTAAATAAGTCACATTAAGGTATAAATTAATTAATCAATCAATCAATCAAATTTTATTTGTATAGCAAATTTCAGCTACAAGGCATTTCAAAGTGCTTTACATCATTAACACAAAACACAAAGGCATGCAACATAGAGTAAAATACCAAGGTTTTTTTTTTTGTCCCTTTTTTTTTTCTTTCCACACGTTCCACAGGTAATTTATGATGATTAAGATCATCATAAATTAAAATCAGCTCAATAGTTTTATCAAATAAACAGGCAGTTTTGCCTGTTTTCCTTGTCTGAAAACAATCAATAATCATTTTTCAAGGCTGATTTTGTGTACAGAAATTTCATAATCCATTTTATTCAGTCAATAAAATTCCAAAAGTGAAATTCAGGAACTTTTCAATCATTTCCTATGTAAGTTTTCAAACTTTTCCAGCACCAGATTGGAGATAAAAACAATCCAAACAAACTAAAAGCAAGACAGTTTCATTTCACCTTTATACATGACATGATTTATTAGTGCTATAAATATTTTTTGTGGTCGTAGTCAACAGGATAATATTTTGAAATGTGGTCAGAGAGCAAAAAATTCCCCCAAATTTACAGTAAATCATTAGCCATCCGGACTAATAAATATTCACCACATTGAAACAATCAAAACAAATCGTGTTGAGGAAAAGGCAAATTTCTGCAATATGAAAAGTTAAAAAAAAATAATTTCTTTTTAAAAGTTTTTCTTCAGTTTTCTGGGACAATTTATCTTGAAGCAAAATGTAATTTTGAGTGAATAAAGATCCAGACCTTTTCTGCTCTCTCCTCCTCCAGCTGCTTCAGCACAGCCTGCCGAAGGTCTTCACCCAAATCCTCACTGAAACAACAGGAAGATGTTCTATAGTTTGTCTGATAAAAAGGTGAAAAATGGTGAATGTATTCAGTGAAGAAAGCAAACCTGTTATTATTTCCAGTCGGAGTTAGCTGGTGCTCCTTGGTGTAAAACTTTTCAAGCAAACTCTGGATTTCCATTCGAACTATTTCTTTCTCTCTAAGCTCCTCCTGGAGAAATATCAACAGTATTAAATGCTTGGTCTGAAGCTGAAAGGGAAAACTATAAGTCAATTTTTCAAAAGTAGGAACAGAAATAATTTTGTTTGCACCTTGAGTCTTTGGATTTCCTCGTTTTTGGCGCCTCTCTCACTGTTCAGCTCGACTAGAAGAAGCTCCATGGTCATCATGGAGGAGCGCCGGTTCTCCAGCTCACGCTCCTGGCTCTCCAACACTTCGGTCAGATCTCTGTTAAAGCTCCCAAAACCACAGGGAGTCTGAAGCAGGGAAAGCAAAACAGATAAACATACACAAGAATGCATGTCAGGGTTTCTGCAACTTTCAGGAACTCAAATGTAAGAATTTAAGACCGAATGGCTACAAATGGAGTTTAAGACCATTATCATAGAATTTAAGACCATTATCATAGAATTTAAGACCATTATTATAGAATTTAAGACCATTATTATGGAATTTAAGACCATTATCATAGAATTTTAGACCATTATAATGGTATTTAAGACCATTACCATAGAATTTAAGACCATTATTATAGAATTTAAGACCATTATAATGAAATTTAAGACCATTATCATAGAATTTAAGACCATTATCATGAAATTTAAGACCATTATCATAAAATTTAAGACCATTATCATAGAATTTACGACCATTATTATAGAATTTAAGACCATTATCATAGAATTTACGACCATTATTGTAGAATTTAAGACCATTATCAAGGAATTACGCTTCGTGTCTGTTGGGATGTTAGCGATAAAACCAAAAACAGAGTTTTTACCCTATTTACTGATTTCGGTGTGACAGTCGGCTCAGTGGGTTTGAATCCTCCGTTTCTGACTGTTTTCTCAACAGCCTCTTGTTGCTGTTGCACCTGGTGGGAAAATTATTGTGGTGTTTTGAGTCGATCACGACCTTTTTTGTTTGTCCTGTAGTAAAAAGGTTAACAAATACAGTTTACCTTCTGCTCTAGGTTCTTTATGATGAGCTCTTTTTGCGTCGCTTGCTCCTGTGTTGCATTCAGGAGGCTCTGCTGCTCATCACAGACCTTCGTGAGTCTCTCAACCTCCTCAGTGGCATAAGTTATTTCTTCCTGCAATACCTCAACCTACAAAAAATACAAACATAAACAACTGAATTAAATAGCAAATAATTATTAAATAAGAGCAAAATAGGGAAACTTTCACCATTTTAAAAGTAAGGCTGGGCAATAAAATGATTTTATTGATTTATGAAATTTTTGATCATTATTTTGAAAATTAGTCTTTTATAGGTTTAGTAACTCCTTTGGTCTCCAGGTCGAAGGTGGCCATCTTGTTTGACGAGCGTTTTTTACAGCTTCTATTTATTTGGACTTTGAATTCAAATCAACTCTATGACAAAATATAAAGATATATGTTTTTTATAGCAAGTAGAATAGAATAGAATAAAGTCTCATAATTACAAAAACACAACCATAGATATAACAAAATAACTTCATATGATGATACAGTCAAAATAACGAGAAATCAATATTACAAGAATAAACTAAAAATAAATAAGTTGTAATGTTCTGAGAATTTCAAAACAAAAAAAATGTTTAAAAGTTAATAATCCAAGAGTTTTTTTTTTTGTTTTTTTTATTCAAACATCTTTTTTACATAATTTAAACTTTCTTCTGGTAAAATTGCATCTTTATTCTGCAACCATTACGAATTTATTCTCATAATTTTAACAGAAATTCACATCCTGGCTTTAATACACTCACAGAAAGGATGACTGAAGTAAAACTTACTTTTGAAAATATTTTCAGTCATCTGTAATTTATTTATTAGAAACAAAAACAATCAATTAAAATCAGAAATTGTTTCTGGTTTGAAAGAAATCTAAGATTTTATTTTTAAGCCGTATCACCCAGCCCTACTTTGCCTCATCAGAGGAGTAAATGTGTGCGTAAGGCAGATTTCCAAGAGTAAACCTTGCTTCACGCACATTCACAGAATTATAATCCCAGCAGATTACCTCTATCTTGTTGGACGCCATTTTTCTCTCCATAGTTTCTTTCAGTTCACTGATTTCATCCTGCATTTTCTGGTTCTGCTTTCTCATGTTGTCTCTTTCACAGCAGGCAGAATTATACTTGCCCTGGAATAGATTTAATCATCACATTAATTTAAAAAAAACTGCCAATAAAAAGCAGTGGAACGACGGAAACTGATTATCTAAAAAGAGGAAGAGCACCGTCAGGTCTTCAACGTCTCCAGTCAGATGGACGATGTTTTCCTCCTTCTGGCTCAGCTTAGCACGAAGGTCTCTGGTTTGGTTGATGAGCTCTAACAGGACATCCTGATGAAGAGCACAGAGACGTATTCGGACACGCACCAGCCAAACCCATATCGCATTTAACAGGCGAAGAACTCAGTTTACTTTGTCGTGTTTAATCTCCTGCTCCAAGCTGGTAATCTTTTCGTTTGCAGAGGTCAGATTCTGCTCCAGATCAGTGACTTTGGATGACTTAAAAACAAAAATAAAACAAGAAAGATTAATTAAAACGGTGAAATGTTCTTAAGCCAAATATGTGTTTGCAGACTCTTATTTTGACCAACCAGGTTTTGATTTTGCAGGGTTAAATCTGAGCCTTGTTTTCTGAGCTGTGTGTTCTGCTGCATGGTTTCAACCAGTTCCCTGAAGAAAAAGAAACATTTGTCATGTTGGTATTTTGAGTCATGCTAATAAAAATAAACACTAAAATTTAAATGCTGGAGAGTCAGAAGCTCACTTCGACGTATTTTTTTTGTTTTCCTTCAGTTGTGACGTCAGCCTGCTGGTGCACTCCCGCTCAGCCGCCAGCGAATTATTTAAATCCTTCAACAAAAGAAAGAAAAAAACATCAGAAACAGAACAAGAGTTATGACTAACAATTATATTCTTTTCATCAATCGTTCTGGTGATTAATGAATTAATTAGAGACATTTTCACTGAAGTAATAAAATAAAAGAATAATACTGCCTCTTTTTAAAATAAGAAGATAGACATTTTATTCCAAAAACATGATTCCTTTAGTGAACATTTGATCAATTGTAGCTCTGATTGTGTTGTTCTTTCAGCAAATGGCTGAATTTTTTAAGTCTTTATACTCAAGTTAACAATTAATCAATTGCTAAATTAGTTGATGTTTATTTCAATAATTGATAAATCACGAGTAATTCGATTAATTGTTCCAGCCCTGAACAAAACATGGCTGGATTTGAGAAAGATTGTTGTAAAGTTGAGAGTTTCCATTACCAGGACCTCCGCTTTGAGCTGGTCGACCTCCTTCTGCTTGTCGCGCAGCTCCTGTCGCGCCTGATCAGCGTCAAACTTGGCCTCAGCCTGCAGCTGGTCGAAGGAATCCTGCAGAGTTCGGTGCTGTTCCAGAAGCTGCTCCCACTCCAGTCTGGAAAAAGGACGCAGAAGATTTTAGCACATAAACACACGAGAGCAGAGAAACACATCGAGCTTTCGGCTTACTGGACTTTGTCGAGTTGGAGCTGGGTGCTGATCAGGTTGCTGGAGAGCCGACTCATCTCTTGCTGATGCTCACTCTGAGTTTCTCTGAGCCCGTTCTTCACCGAGGTCAGCTCCTTGTCGGACGACTGCAGGACCAAACGCAGATCTTGGATCTCGCTCCTCAGAACTGAAAGTCAGAGATGAAGCCATCCTGAGCTGATGCTTTTAGAAGCAGTTGAGACCCAAACTGAAGCATAAATGTATCCCCTTTAATTGATTTTTGAGGATATATTTTACAGCTTTAGTTTTAGACTTTTTAAGCCTCACCTTCTCCAGCTTGTTGTTCAGACTGAAGGCTCTGCCGCAGGGCATTAACCGTTTCCTGAAAGCTGAGCTCATCTTTGCTCCTACTGGCTCGTTCTGCATGAAGCTCCTGCAGAAGATGCATGTCAGACATGATTTGAAGACACAAAACAAAATTTGACCAACTTCAGGTGTGACTCTTACCTCCCCTTTCTGGAGGGACTCCTGAGAAATCCCAGCTATCTGCTCCTCCAGCTTTGCAATTTGCTTCAACAGCTTGTTATTCTTCATCTCTTCCTCATTTAACTGTGTTTGGACACGACTCACTTGATCCTGGATGACAAACATTTAAAGGTTAAAGGAGGAGCTCTGACTGCTGCATGTAAAAGACAGCCTGCATTAGCGCACCTGAACGTGACGCAGCTCTTCTGTCAGGGCCATCTCCGTCATGTCTGACGGCGGCCGCTCAGACCAGATTTCTTCTCTGTCGTTTTCGATCCCGTTCAAATGTTCCGGACTGGAAAGCGGAATGAACCGCGACCGCAGGTTGTACGCTTTAGTGGGCGTGGTGAGAATCTGATTTAAAAAGTTTAAAAAGATGTTTTAATGACAAAACACAAATTTGGCCACAATATTTTCCAATATTTTATGTCTAATGAGAAGAATCATAAAGTCAAAAACAGATTTTTGCATTAATTAAAATATCTTATCTGACATTAATGAGACAAAACTTTTTTTTTTTCCATATTTGCTAAATACAAAGCGGTTAGATTACTTAGTTATATATCTTTAGTTTTTTTGAATCTGCACATTCAACAAATTTTTTGTTAAAGTATTAAAGCCTTTTTATGCAATATTAGAAATACAAGATGAAAACAAACAAATAATTTAGAAATTAACTGCCAAAAATGCAATAAAATAATACTCCTTTAGTGTTCGTTTAATTATTTGCAGCAAAAAATATCCTAACATGAAAAAATCAATAAATTTTATTGATCATTTTTTAGTGATTATTTTTTTTGATTAATTATTGGATCGCAAGAGGTGATAAATACAAGATTGTTTTTACAGAGGTAAAACTGGGTTTATATTTACAGATAAAGATATTTTTTTCTTAATTTTTTTTAATCTAATCTGATTTTTACCTTTTTTTGTTTAGCAACTGCTCTTAGTGGGATTATATTTATAACTAAATAAGCCAGTTATTGATAAATTCGCTACTACATTAGTTGATTATATTAATATCAAATTGTTTCAATCCTTTTCAGCCCTAATCTTGGACTGATTCACACACAGTTTTAGTCTGATTTAATGCCAGACAACAAGCAACACAGCTATGTTTCACCTGACAGAGTGAATGTAAACGTTTGGTTTCGGCCGTGTCTCTACGTACTCACCTTTATCGTTTCTACATGAATCCTGTTGAGCTCAGAGACTTCGTGTTTTTTGCATGCATGAGTGGCTTCCAGAATGTTTTCCAGGTGCCTGTTGGACTTCTCCAGGTATCTTTTGTCAGACTGCAGCTGAGACAGCTGCTTCCTAAAAACACAAACCTCTGAGTCAAACGATGAACAACTCACAGGATTCATAAGTGAAATAAATCTCTTTCAAGGCAGAAGATCTGCAAATGGAGTAAAAATATGCTGACTTCTGCATTTAATTACAATATAAACATGAAATGTGTATTTCTCAGTTTGTCTTGTAGTTGAGAGCAGAAAACTGAGTGTAAAATTAAGAGTTTGTCTGTGAAAGACACAAAATGGGAAGAAACCCAGAAAAAAAATCTATTCTCAGACTTTATTCTACTGCAGATATTAGTGATGAGGATTCAACATTAAGCTCATGTAAAGTTTCTTTGTAAAATCAAACTTAGATTTAAATACCAGACAATAGTAACAGATTAATTTATATCATTTGTGAGTTAAATATATTTTTATTCATTTTATTAATATTCCTCATCACTCCTAAAAACAATTTCTGATTTAAGTCGTTTTTGAAATATTTTAAAATACATGCATCTACTTTGTTATTCTACTTTAATGTGAAACTACAATTAATAACAAAATGTTCGCTGCAAAGTTAAGTAGCTTGCCGATTGCTTATATTTCACAACAGAATCGCATGAAGTGCAGTTTTCAGTTTCATCCGCCATCTTTGTTTCTGTCAACAGCTCCACTGAAGAATCATCAGGGCGCCCTCTGTTGGATAGAGGCCGAACTACAATAATAAATGTCTAAACGGCCGGTTTTATTTAATCGACTGGAATTTATTTTAATATAAAAAAATACATTAAGTGTATTTATTAAGAATCCAATTCTTAATAAATACACTTTTTAAGATTTAGCGGGAACATTGTAATCTTTCTTTGCATTTCTAATTGACTAGTTTTATAAATTGTCTTTGTGCTTTTATTTTTTATTAATTTAATTTATTACTTACTTTGTGATGTCTTTGTACTCCTCAAAAGCCTGCAGGACAGCTGTGAGGTCCGACTGTTTCTGCAGCAGTTTCGCGTTCAGCTTTTCGATCGTGGCTGCAGATGCAGAATCTGTCGCAGACGAAGTCGAAGCGGCCGTAGAAGCTGTGGAGGAGCAGAAGGTGGTTATTAAAACTGAATGTAAACAATATTCTCCAAGATATCTGATGCCGGCAATTTTACCTTCTGTGAGTTTTTCTGACTCCAGCGACTTTTGAAAGGCTTCCTCCAATTCAGCTGCGATTTGGGTGGAAACTTCTTCACATTTAATCACAGATTCAAGAGATCGCAGCAGACGGTTCTCTTCTCTAAGGCTGTAATTCTCTGCTGCATATCGAGTCATCTTTGGATGATGCTCAACCTTAAAAGCAACAATCTTTTAGATAGTGAAATTATCACATTAATCCATATGGGGGAATTTTAAAATTGGATTTTTACCTGATCAGCTAAGATCTTAATCTCTTTTTTCTGCTGGTCAATCAAAGCCTGAAACTCTGCGTCCGTCGTCGAGCTTTCTCCGGCCTTCAGCTTCTTCTCCAGACGGGAGATGTGGTCTTCTCTGAACCTGATGATCATTCTGCTGGAGTGGATGAACTTGTCTTTCTGGGTCCAGGCCTCCTCCAGCTGAGCCACCTTCTTGAGCAGGACCTGATAAACGGTAAATGAAGCCGTAAGAACTCGCAGCCCAACAGTTTCCCGAAATAAATTAAAATCCCTTCACCTTCTTCTCCTCGTTTTGCTTCTTCCACAGACGCACTGCAGCCATGTACTTCCCTCTATACGAAACATCCTGCTGATTTTCAACTGATAAACCTGAAAGGAGTTTAAGAACCAGAACCCAGTAAGCCTTGAGAGGCATTAATTTGTAAGAACATTTAATTATTAAATTGCTAAAACAATTAATCTGGTTTATCAATTATCTAAATAATCATCAACTAAATTAGTAGTCAATTAATTGTCACTTATAGTGTACAGATTCAGGATATTTGCTGAAAAAAATAACATATTCAGAGCAGTAATTAAGCCAAAACTGTACAAAAAAACTCTACATTTTATATTTAAAATAAAAATACAATATATACAAAAACCTGCAGAAAGTGCCAGTTTTCTTAACTAATTAATCAATCATCAGAATAATCAATTACTAAAATAATTACTATTGCAGTTCTAATGCGTTTTAAGAAACAAAAAATTAAAACCTTTCAAAACTCAAATTATTTTTTAAACCAGCAATAACTAAAAATAAAAAACACTTAAAAGCTTTAAGTGTTTTTTAGGAGTTTTTTGTGTCATAAACTAATTTATTTTATTTTAGAAAGGGCTACTTGTTCCTATAAAGTCAGACATGATAAGCAATGAGATTAATGTAAGAAAACTATGGACACCTCATTAAATATTTAAATGTTGACCAAGTGATCTTGATGTATTACGGTATGTTTTGATTTTTAATCTCTGAAAGACAAAATGGCTTACTTGCACTAACACAAAATGATCTGACCTAATAGTTGGTGTTAATCAGGCTCTGATTTCATACTTTTGAGTATTGACTTTGAAATTGTTGCTTGTGAAGTTCCTACTTGGAAGGATGCGATTTATTTGCATGTTTTTACCCATGAGAGGCTGAGGTCCTCCTGGTGCAGAGTCTCCTGCTGAAGAGGTCAGAGCCTGAGCAAGCTGCTCCTTCAGCTTCTTCACTTCAGCCTGTAGCTGCTTCACATTCCCCTGTGTGTCCTCATTAATAACAGCCTGCAGGAAACAAACAAGAATCCCAAAAAGCGCTGTAACAAAACCACCGAAAGGTCTGTAGAGTTATGAGCGAGGGAATGATGAAACACCTTGTTCTTGATCAACTTTGCTCTCTGGGCAAACTGCAACGTGGACAATGTTTCTCCAAAACACTTTGAACCAGGATGAACATTAGCTATGATGTAGGTCTTTGCATTTCCTCCAAGAGAATCCTGAAATAATGAAAACAGATGCCATTGAAAACAAGGGATGCAACCACTAATGCCTTTTTTTAATATATATATTTAAATGAGTTCCAATCGTGTTGTAGTTTGGCCACCATACAGCAGAGGGCACTGCTGGTCATCCTTAAGCGGCGGCGCCGCCAGAAAATGTCTATAGAAAAATTGTAACATTAAGAAAAAACATGATGCTAACGAACGCGGTTGATTTAATGGAGCAAAGCTTTTTCATTTCTTCAAGTTCAACTACATGCTGTGGTTCTGTTGATGTGGGATTAACTGCTTCACATATTTTATTTTCCACTCAGCAACTTAAAAGATTTTCTTTTTTTTATATTTTATGACAAAAAGTTAGTCCAGTGATGTGAGAAAAACTATTTTGGTTTAGTCAGTATTTAATACAGCTGACACAAAATAATATTCAAATTTAAATTTAGCCCTTCATGTTATGAAAATACAGAAGTTTTCTGGAACAGAAGAAAACTTAGGGTTTTAAGAAATGTCCACTTATCAATGAATCATCAGTTGATTGATAACTTTGAATCAACTCATTAATTGATAATTTGCATCCCTATAGAAAACGCAACACGACAAATGCTTACTTTGAGGAGGAAGGTGAGTTTAGACTCCCTGTAGCAGATGTGTCTGCTCTTTCCGTTGGACACATCCACCAGGGCCATGATGACCTGACCCAAGCACATGAGGGAGCGATTGATGCTGCTGGCCTCCTGCAGAAGAGGACAAGATGCCATTACAAATGAGATTTAAAAAATAATGACCAGGGCTATCCGACAGAAAGCCGCACCTTGAGTCTGGACCCCTCAGTGTGGGTGTCTTTCTGTCTCTCGGATCCGGCCAGATCCACCAGGTTGAGCTGAGAACTTCGGATGTTCATCACCTCGTTGCGGGACTCCTTAGACTCCAGCATCATGGTGAACACGGCGTGAGATCTGGAGGATTCGCGGTTCATGGAGGTGGAGGCCACACGCCGGTTTCTCCAGCCCGTAGAAAGAACCTGCAGGATTTCAGAAGCAAAGAAGGATTTTTTCCCTCCCCAAATAGTAACATTTACGTTTTATGGTAAATTGAATAAACAGACATGTGGAGCCTATATGACTGCATGTAACATGTTTTTCTTATAACTCAGTTTTTTGTTTGTAAAAATAGAAAGCTTTACTGTAATCTGATTACTGTCAATGTTGTAATCTGCCCTACCTGATAAGCTTCAGCTGCTGAGTTCACAAACTTCTCCACAGCTCCTTCAACGAACACGCCTTTCTTAATGTTTTCCCTGAGGAAAAGGCTGGCAGACGCTGAATCCAGCAGGTCGTAGATCTGTTCGTTGTAGATCTCAATAAACGAACATTTGCAAAGGAAACTCTTGGATTTTCCAGACTGTTTTAGAGGAGAATAAAGATCAGCAATGAGTAGAAACAACCAGATAAATAGACAGTCCTATGAAAGGTGCCTTGATTTGGGTTTTTTATTCCTTTAATAAATTAAATCAACTTTTGCAAATTGCTTTTTGTATTCGCTTGTGTTATCTTTGAGATTAAAAACGGTTTAATCTAATCTGGAACATTTAACAAATTTCTTCTTCCTGGGTGTTACTACTCACCCTTTCCACTTCTCTGCCAATAAGAAAAAACAAATACTCAAAACTTCGCGGTATGACCCCCCTCAGCTCGTCTGTGAAGTTGTCCAGCTCAGATGGACCTGCAGCCAGAGGGAGACAGGTTTGACTTTGGTTCTGTCTAATGTTTCAGTACAAACAGCGACAGCAGCAAATACCCACCGAGCATGGTGAATGTTTTTCCTGAGCCCGTTTGTCCACTGCAGAACCAAAACAGGAATCTCATCAACAGCTGAATTGAGGAATTACATGCAGAACGACATGCTTTTTTCATTTCATAAAGTAAAACATGTAATACTTACTAAGCAAATATAGTCCCGTTATATCCATTCATGCAAGACTCAACAATATTTTTGCCCACACTGGTGAAAACAGAATCCTGTTGCAGAATGAAAACAAACATTAGAGATGGAGCTTTATCCTTTATGTTTATGATAAACTGACTAGACATCCGAGACCTGAGATGTGTCCATGTCGGCCACATGGTCGTAGGTGAAGGTCCGTGGTTCTGGCTTTGAGAGCAGACGGATGGTGTTGGGTGAGCTGACGTTCAGACACAGACTCTGATCCCCGTCTGTGGTCAGCCCAGTACCCTGGGTTAGAGGTCGCACTCGTACAAAGACTTTGACGCAGTTGCTGTCCCCACTGCAATACGACAAAATAACAGAATAATTCAACGGGCTGAACGAGCTGCAGAGTACGTTTTTTTAGTTAACATTTGATGTTGAGTTGTTTGAATTATAATCTCTCAGCTGCACTATTTTTTTTAAAGTGATCAAAGAATGCTAAATTTCTGTACTTTTTCTCCACAGAAATAAAATCATACACTCAGGCTCAATAGGGGTGACAACTATGTGAAGACAATTTATTCTGCATATCCTACAGATGCTTATTTGGCCTGAGTCAAATATCTTATTTCAAACTCGGCCTGTGCAATATGGCTTAAAAACAATAAATAATAATCTCTACTTCAAAAGAAATTACAAATAAAAGAAAATATGTTCGACAACTTGCTTTTATTTCAGTCATTCCTTCTGGGAATCTAGTATGAACACAAATTAAAAATAATCAAACCAAAAGGGAGTAGATAGAAAACTGACTCTCACTACCCAATATTTAACATTAAATTAAAATTATAAAGATGGATTTTCTTTTAAATATTTGATACTATCCAGTTCAAATAAATAAATAATAAAACACTTCATAACTCAGCTCCACACGTTCATTCTAGCTGGATTACAATACATATTGATATATTCCTTTTTTAAACTCATATAGGTAGATTTTGTTCTTTCTCTGAGCATTTATTACCTGGCAGCAAGAAGAGTTGAATCTCCAGATCCTGAAATGACAAAAGAAAAAAATGAAGATTAAATATTTCCCAAGTCAATCCAATGAGGAGTTACAACAGATACGAGCTAACAGTCAGAATTATTAGAAAGCTCGTCTAAAACACACTCTGTTTAAAGCTAGCATGGATTTAAAGCAGATGCTAACAGAGAGCCAAACCTAACTGTCCAGTTGAGATAACCGAAAAGAAACCTTCGGACTCCAATCTTACCTTTTCCACCCGAACTCATTGTAGCAAACGTTAATAAACCCACACTGAGCGAACCGTATGTTTTAGCTAATATTGTTTACATCCTTTGAAATTGGCGGGCGGACTTGCTCATCATTCTCTTCCGTCGTCGCTGTGTAAAATCCAGCTGATTGGTGCGCCACTGCCCCCTACTGGCCAACTGGCTTTACTCTTCTTTTTTTTTTTTTTAGAAAGAAAACAGGAAACACTTCACAACCAAATTTAACTTGTAAAGCTAGCAGATAAGAGGAGATGATTAATGAAAAGAGAGCTTTAAATTAATTGTATTTTAGTATAACACTTTCTGACTAAGTTGTTTCACTTTAAAAATTTTGAAAATAGGAGTGATCTTTATATGTCTGTGAAAAACAATGCAGCCATAAGGAAATAATTATTACCGAATATTTAACCCTTAACAAATAAACCAACTTTTATCATATTTAAAGTGAAATGCATTTTGATCCAGTTCTGAAAGTCCTTTCAAAAAATATTCATAACGTTTCAATGGGAACAAAATGTGTTTCCTCACAAATCACAGGAATTGGTATTTGTTTTTACAAAAGGTCGTTACAACAGTAAACTATACATCTTTTTAAATCAATTTTGTTTACTTTTTTGAGAGTGGCAAAAAACAGATTTGGTCCTGGTTTATTTTTAAAGTTATAGTATCATAATTAAAAAAAATAGAGCTTCTTCACTAAACCAGAATAGACTGTAATAAGTTCAAACAAACTCCAGGGATGAAAATAATTGAATATTTATGAGCGGTAACCGCAACCCCACTCCTAGTTGGACTACACACTCTCTTGGAACGTCTGTCACCTTTGGATGAGCTCTTTGATATGATTGGCTGCCTAACCCGGAAGCGCATCTTGTTTGAATGTCTGGATCGATTTGATTGGTCCGTTTCATGACTTTTAAATTCCAAACGGCTGCGCGTGTTCAGACACTGGAGAGGGATTTTCAAAAAACTAGTGATCAGTATTTACTGGCGATACTACCGTTCATACCTCCACAAAAGGTCTTATCGTTTCAACCTGAGTGACCAGTATTGTTCAGGTAGGTGGTGAATTTTTACCTTATCGTAATTCAGTGTGCAACGGCTTTCATTTTTTCCCTCAGTTTTAAACTAGCTGTAATTTTCCGTTAACAGTTAGCCTGATGCTAACTGTTTTTGACGATGTCTTTCTTGATGTAAAGACTTACTTTACGCCGTGTTGAAGCTTAATTTGAATAGGTGTTAGTGGTAAAATGTACATGCGTTTATAATTAAATAGAGAGGAAAACATGAGATCGTTCAGCTGATGTGATTTACTTTGTGGTCACATGCTAACAGCTACACGGCTTCACGAGCTATTTTCAGGGTTTCAGTCTGCAGTCATATCAGTACGTCTCTTTATATGTAATATCATAAAAACTGCTTAGTTTTTATGATATTATCTATGGAAAGTGATTTTGTTGTGTCGTTTTATGGGTTTTTTTCAGAAATTGAAAGTTGTCCGTTAAATTTAAGTAAAGCTATCGGTGCCCCCTGGTGGTCATATGGTGTCAACGCAATTTTATTATTTTTAACCTCAACAATTAGTTAAAATTTCAATTTGTGAAATTTTAGTCAACTTCTGTTTTCCAAAAGGCTACACTAACACAGATTTGGTCTTCCAGTGTCTCTCTTGTTTTGTTTTCTTTATTGCCCTTATCACATAAAGTGCACACCCAACCCCCAGGCTATTTTAAAAAAATTACAAGCATCTCCATTTATCAGCTCTATATTCTAACTAAATGGCTTCATATTTACCTTTTATAAATGGGTCATACCAAAACATTCAGACCTATTGCGCAATTTAAGAACCAGAGCATAAGGCTACTATACAAAAACATTTTCCCATCTTAACTTGACTCCATTTTCTTTCTTCTGAAAACATCCAAGTCACAGATTGTGTTCTTTCATTTCCTAAAAAATAAAAATGGTCTTCAAATCAAACACAACAGTACGCCCTGAGTTTCTTGACTCTGTTGTCACGTGCCTCAACAGGAATAGTCTTATCATCTGCATGCAGCTTTCAGAGTGACGCATTAACGTCATTTTGCTGCTTCTTGTCTAACAGGATGAATTCTGTGGATGCCAAAGAGAACTCTGCAGTCATCCCAGCAGGAAAGCACAGCAGCTTGTCTCAGGACATATTTTCCCTGGATCAGCCCACAGGGAGGCTGTCCATCCTGCGTCAGACGGATAACCTGCCCAGTAAGACCATGCCGAGGGACTCCAAGGTACAGAACTGTTAGTTAATTCATCTAGCACAACAGATGCTAGATGTATTCATGCTATTATTAACACAGTCAGGTTTAAAATGATGTTTTCTAATAGATTTTGCAACAGGTGATCATACTTCCCTGACTAAATGTCTTTGTTCAGGTTTCTTTTCAGACCCCCAGAAGAGATCCAGTGACTCGGAGGATTCTTTCCCCCAGCAACTCTGTCGTTATGCCCTGTGTGGACGAGAACATGAAAGTGATCGGCTCTTTTAATGTGGAGAAATCAGAGTAAGAAACGGATTTTATGCTTCCGATTTGTCTTTACATGGAAAAAAAAGTAACACTAAGTCTGTCATAATGATAAACTTTACTGGTTGACGATTTGTCCCAGAAATTATTAGGATGATATTGTAAACTTAGATGCTATTTTCAAGAAATATAATAGCATAATAATAATGCAAATTCACCCTTTTTGAGACTAATAAGTCGAAAATGAAAGATACTTTCAATATCCAAATTAAAACGACAAAACCAAAGCAATAAATTAAAGAGAAATATAAAACACATATACACCATCTGTTCTATGCGCTGTCTCATGCAGGAATACTTTAAAAATTAAGCTACAAAAGAAACCAACTAAAATGTAACTAAAACGATGTCTGTAAATAAAGTTCTCTTTTAAAAATATTTAGAATCATGATGGAAATTATCAAGTTCATTTTAGCTGATTAATTATGGCAGGCTTTGATAACAGCGTTGTTGTTTTTTTCAGCATCTCACCACATGAACCAACTGAGCCTCCAAAAAAAGGTAATTTATCTGAAAACATTAACTATTTACCTTATTTTGTCCTGTGTATAAATCGACCGATAATAAATTGACTCTCCCATCAGATCCGTCTTTGTTCCCCGATGACGAGATGCCGATCCAGAGCAGAGGCGGCTACCAGCTGGATTTTGATAACCTAGACGCCATCAACCCCTTCCAGGGCTCCAATCGGATGCTGCTGTCTCCCGTCAGGCCCGCCGACGATCCCAGTGAGGCCCGCCGGACGCCCACGGAGGAACCGGGAGCCGAAGCCCCGCTGGACGACACGCTGCCCTTCACGCCGTCCGTGGAAAACTCTCTGGCGGACGTCTCCACAGAGAGCAGCGTGGTCATAGTGAACGTGGCGAAGGAAGAGCAGGACGTCATCTCAGCTACGCCTGATGAAAAGCAACCTGGTGAAGTGTCTGCAAGCACAGGACAACAGGAAGCATCGGGCGGTTTCAGCGAGGACGGCGCTCTTCCAGGAAAGGGATCCTACAACCTGGATTTTGACAGCCTTGACTCCATCAACCCTTTCCAGACCGGAGGCTCAAAAATCCAGAACTCGCCTGTTGGAGTTGGAAGAAAGGTGGCAGAGGACGATCCACCTGCAGAGGAAACCAAACCCGCTGAAGCTCCTGATGAGGAGAAAGTCCTTCCTCCAGAGGGGCCGATCAAACTCGAGTTCAACTTCAGCGACGGCGCTGAAGTCAAGCGGAAGCCGCCACCTAAAAAGCTCGGCAAGAGATCCACCGACAGAAAACGTGAAGAATTAAAGCCGCCGTCTGATCGTAAACCCTCTGAAGAGTCCTCTGGGAAAGCCGGACCCGGAGACGCTGCTGTGCCCAAAGCTTCCTACTCCTTCGACTTTGAGAAGTTCAACGATCCGAACTTCAATCCCTTCAGCACCAAAACGAGCATCGTTGACTCTCCGAAGAGCAGCAGCGTTCCCTGTCCCGTCCAGCTGGAGCCGGACGCCGCAGAACAAACCAACGACCCGGAGAAAGAGATGGCTGCTTCATCGGAGAAGTGAGTAAATCTGTCACAGGGTTCGTACAGGTCCTGTAAATCCTGGGAAATTTTTGAATTTCAATAAAGTGTCTGATGTTACAATTGCACAATTTTATAACAAAATGCAATTATATGTTTGATTAAGAACCTAAATTTATTAGGTTTTTTTCACAGTTCAAACCAAATATTTTTCTTCCACCAAATAAAAATTCACCAACTTTTTTTTCTTACTGTCTGAAGTTAAATTTGACTAATTTTCTTTTTTTGTTTTGTGCCAAATAGAATTACCAAAATTAGTTATATTTGTTAAATACCAGAAAACTTGCAAAGAACATTTCAAAGCTTTTCTGTAACTCTGACTGATCTGAGCTTTAATTGTTTTCCTGCAGGGCTGCAGAGACGTCGCCTCCTGCAGAGACGTCGCCTCCTGCTGAGCCTCATGACGCCTCGGTGAGCAGCGATTCAGTTTGTCGCTGCCCTCAAACTTCCTTCTCTCTTTGCTAATTTACACAAACTGTAATTCTCCTGAAATGTCAGATGGGGGATCGCGTGGTTCTGTCAGAGAAAGACCTGGAAAGTGAAAGCAGGAGCCTGAAACCCCAGAGCCCTCTGGACTCCAAAGAAGAGTTTGTTCCTGGAAGCATGTGTGAGTGAACGCTGCTGCAAAGTCATCAGATACATATTTGTTTTTACTTTACTGCTGTTCTCTTCCAGTCATGGCCAACGACTTTGATGGGCAGATTGATTACCTTGAACAGTTTGGCTCCAGCAGTGTAAGTGCGGCACACTCGAAAAATTATCTGCATTTCTGCTGTGAAGATATTTCAAAGTTATTTTTGTCCCTGAGCAGTTTAAGGAGTCCGCGCTGAGGAAACAGTCGTTGTACCTAAAGTTTGATCCACTACTGAGAGAAAGCCCAAAGAAACCTGCAGGTCCTGCTGCTCAGCTGCTCTCTGCTGCCCCTGCTGGCCTTTCTGCACGGTACTGCTACCTTCATTTATGCTGATTTGTTGCCAATGGATACTGGAGGAGACCCTTGCATACATTACACCACCCATAAACATCTAAAATAATTTATTTATCAAAGATAAACACTTGATAATACTTGTAGCCTTTGTTCAATTTAAAAATAGAGCCGAACAAATTAAGCTGAAGAAGAAAAGCCTTTTTTTGTTTGTTTGTTTGTCAAGAAAGTTCAGTTTGTTTTGGAAAGGTGTGAACATGAAGTCAAACTGATGTGACCCCTGAAAACTTCCATCTCAGTTCGATGCGTGTGTGAACGCCAGGCGGACTGGAGGCTGCTCCAAAAGCAGGAAGCAAACTGCAGTGCAGGGCATTGTGGGTAGAAACAACCAAAACAAACGTGAGAGTCAAACGTTGAAGGGAGAAATGGCTTTTGCCAAAGAAATTGTACAACCACTAAAATCTGACCCTGCTGAGTTATTGTTTACGTCTACTAAAGAAGGAATTTCTTCTGCAGTTGTTGTTGCAGCGCCTCCACAGGCAGGGAGGGGAACAGGTGTTTCAAAGGGTTTGGCTTGTTTGACACAGAGAAAAGCAGCAGCTGAAAATGTAACAAAAGTTGCAATTTTGGCCCCAATCAAATGGAGTCAACTGGACTATCAGGTGTGAAAACACTCCCACTCTGCTGTCAAACGTTATTCTGTGTGACGCAAATTGTCTTTAACAAAGAGTGAAAAAAAACATTTTCAAAAACCAGAGAGGATACATTTTCTCTGTCATCTTTTCTTCGGATGCTTTGCAGCGTTCGACTCTGAAAGCAGTTTGTTTGAGAATCTACTTGGTTACTAAACGGATTGCAGGCAAACACTTTCTTTCATACGGGAAATTAAATATTCAAGGACTTTCATGGACAGCAGATAAACGAGAAACAATTAAATAACTTTCCCATGAGAACCATAACACTGTTGCACGTTGTTTCACTCATAAACTGCAACTTTTAGAACAAGCCTCAGCTACTTTATGTGAAAAATCAGTTGCAGCTTTAAAGGTAAGAGCTTCAACATGTAGGTGTGGTTTGGGTTACAGAAGGTCTGGAGTGTCGTAATGGAAGATTTATAGGAACCCTGTGAGTTTTCTCTGCTATTTAAAGGGATCCATCTGCAGCAGGAACCACCCTGACCTTTACAGAGTTATGTGTTGCTAAAATAAAAGCAGAAATGTTGTCTTTAAATGACAGGAGTGAAAATTTTGTCAGCTTGTTGAAGCAAAGTCAGGATTTTAATGAGCTGGAGTTTTAAATATGGCAACTTTTTCAATAAAGGCTGAGATGTATATGTGGGAAGGAGCAGTTTTATGAAAGGTTTGGTCAAATTAAAGTGGTTTATGTGTGAAAAAGGGAATAAAATGTTGCATGATATTAATATCAGCCTGTGGGTAAGAAAATGAACATCAGCAGTTCATGGTTGGAGTTATTTTAGTTCAGAAACATTATGATGTGCTAAAATGTGAAAGAGTAGGAGCTTCTTAAAGAGACGGAGGCCAAATTTTAAAATATTTTAAGTTGTTTGATATCTGCATTTTTAACAGCAGGACATAATATATGATGCACTTTTATAGCACATCATGTCTGGATACCCTCTTATTTCACATTCAGTTTCTCTCAGACATGAACATGATTACCTTGCAGGTTCAGTGAAGCAGGGAAGGAGTCATCCGAACGCTCACAGAACGATGTTTTCAAACTGGTGGAGGACGCAGCGGCTGCTGTGAGTCTCAATCCGAGTCGAACAGTTTGTGGTCGGAGCGCCTGGCCGGTTCTCATCCTTCCCTTCTTCCGTCTCTCAGCCTCTCGTCCTGCAGAGTCTCATCCCTCCGTTCCCCAAACCTGCAGAGGAATCCATTATTGAGGTTCTGACGTACAGCCAGAAGGACATGGATGCCGCCATGGCGAGGGTGCAGGCCGAGGTTTGTCTTTTCATGCCACTCTGGTTCTGTTTTCACTCGTTAATCAGATTTAATGTAAAGATGATAAAAGTTACTTTCTTGTGCTAAACGTTTTCAAACAGGCTAAGGAGAAAGAGGAGCAGTGGAACGCCAAGCTTAAAAGGCTGCAAGACGATGGTCAAGAAATGAGGTGAGCTTTGAATGCTAACTTTACGTCTTTTGCTTTTACAAAATTTCTAAGCTGCTTGGAATTAAGTTTTAATGATATTTAGATCTAGAGAAATAAAAAAAAATGTTAAGTTTTGCTGCCGAAGTCCTTATTCTGCATCTTAATCTGCTTTAAAGTACGGTAAATACATCAAGCTGTCTGTAATTGGAAGATGAAGATGGTCAAACTGAACTGTTATCTCAAATTTAACGTAAAATATTCTTCTTCAATAGAAAAGTAATGGCAGAGTTCGAGCTGCTGATTGCAAATATGAATGGTGAGTTTATAAAACATATCTGATTTCTTTTATTGGTCTTTGTTTTCCTTAAAAACCCTGAAAGCATTTTATTTTTCTTCCTGATTAAATTAGACAGTCATGAGAAGGAGAGGGAGGAGGCGCAGAAGAAGCTCAGCCAGGCTCTGACGGAGAAGGACCAGGTGTCCAGCGACCTGAGCGCCATGGAGCGGTCGCTGGGCGAAATGTTGAAGAGGCTGGAGAAGTACAAGGACGTGGTGGAAGGCTACAAAAAGGTCCGATTCACAGAGGAAGAACGCCGCCGTTTTGGTTCTTCATGGCAGCAAAAAGCAAATCCTGTTTCTCCCTCTGCCAGAATGAAGAGACCCTGAAGTCCTGCGCCCAGGATTACTTGGAAAGGATAAAAAAGGGCGACCAGCGGTACCAGACACTGAAGGCTCACGCCGAGGAGAAGATCAACCTGTAAGACGACAAAACTCACATCTGGTTTTAGCTGCTAACACATTGTTTAGTTATTGATTGATCGATTCAAAAAATTCTACAGATTTCTTCATTTCAGGGTTGTTTTTTTTTTGTCCAATATAAGAAAATACTATCTTGCCTAAAATGCGGTAGTGTCCCTTTAGCGTACACGTGTTGAGTTTTAGTTGCAGATGCATCCTTTGCTTCAAATGATCTAATGGTATAATGGAGTATTTGGGCCATCATAGAAATAAAGTATAAAACATTTTTTTAAAACAAAATCTGAAATTTGACTTTTTCCTTCTCTTTTTTTGTATTATTTTGTAGCACATTTTCGATTTTCCAAACTGAATTTTCAAGTTTTGTTGAAAATTTCTGAGATTAATCTCTAAATTTGAGTTTTTATTTATTTATTTTTCATCCACAATAACCCTAATATGTCATTGTATTAGTGTTTTGTAGTTCACTGTTAATTGCAGCTATATTTTCTTTTTTACAGCAAATGGCCTCTTTTCAGTTTATATGGTTCGGTTAACGATTGATTACCAAATCGGTTGGCTATTATTTCAATAGTGCATTCATCGCTGTTAGTCAAATAAATAGTTTTGGCTGAAGAGACTAAACTACTTTATTTTTTTTTAGTGCAAATGAGGAAATTGCTGAGGTCCGATCGAAATATAAGGCGGAGCTGTCGGCTCTTCAGGCCCAGCTGCGGCGGGAGCAGCTGAAGACTCAGTCTCTGGAGAAAAGCCTTGATCAGAAAGTGAGTGATCATCAGTGTGAATCGATTTATATATTTTAAAAAAAGTTTTTTTAAAAATCTCCATGTGAATTTGTTTCAGGAAAAAGAAGCGGAGGAGCTCACCAAGCTCTGCGATGAGCTAATATCCAAAGTGCAGAAAGGCTGAGCTCAACTGTAAATACTTTTTGTTTCTGCTTCACTTTTGTTTGTTCTATTTTTGTGTTTTAATAGACTGTATAATAAAGAGAATTTACAAATTTGAATATCTTCTCTGAAGTCTCGTTTTATGCAAGCTGGTACCACCAGAGGGCGGTGTTCAGCTCCATTTGTATGCATCCATTAGTTAAGGACGCAAATGTAACATTAGACCATCGTTGTAGTTTTCTGTTTTGTCCCATCATCTGTCTGGAGCCAACGCTCTTCCTGCAACTAAACAACACAAAGCTCCCCTTCTTCCCGGAGCAATCACAGGCTCCCGTCACGTCACTCCCACAGCGGGACAATGCGCTTCCTGAATGGTGAAAGGAAACCCTACCTAGATTGGACCTGAATGAGACTGCAGGGGGAGAAGATGCTGCCGGCTCGGTCGGTCTCCACGTCAGTCAGAGCCACCGTGAGACTGGAACCTGTCTGGACACGACCGACCCGGCACTGCATCACCCACAGACACTTTAACCCACTCAAAGGGAGACGGCACTCTGAGTCAAACCCCCACATGGTCTCATTCTGCACCCCGAACCAAAAAAAGCTTCTTTCAGTAATTAAGTTTAAAAACTGAAAGTTTGATGTTATTTTTTGACTATTTAATTTATACTTTCATTTCAAGGATTAAGTCGTGCAGATGATGGGAATTCTGTTTCTCTTGTAATTAGAATAAAGCACAAGACCAATCTAAAAGACTCTTAAAGCTACAGCTCACTTTCACAAACTTAAAACTGCTACTGTGGCTGCGTTTCCATTAAACTTGTGCAAAACTGTTGATACTCCACTAAATATAATCCTGCAATCGCAATGTTTCCATTAAACCAGAAATGTAATTAGAATCACATGGATAAATTTAACCACTTGCTGTCGTTTGTTGTTTCCTCCAGTAGTAACATCCTGGTGTTGATCACATGACCCCTGCACAAAGGAAGTGTTTCTGGAATTTTGGAACTACATCAGTGCCAAAAACTTTTTTTTTTTTTTCCATTAAGCAAATTTCCTTTTGAAATGTCAAATTCCTCTTTTAAGGCTGATGGAAAAGCAGCTCATGTCACAGCAGTTTCCATTTGCATATTTGGAATTAGGGCAGTTGTAAAGAAATATGTCACTGAATAATCTATTAAAATAAAATATTGGTAAAGTTATAACAGCAATATTACTATCAGATATCCATCAAAATGTTCATATTTGAGCATCCCCAACAATAACTACTGTAGTTTAGAAAACTACATTTTACTAATAGAGATAATCTGATTGTTTCAGCCCCATTTTGAATATCTTTCTCATATCTTAAATCTTTATGACTTGATGCATTTAACTGACAAAACCCCCCATAAAATGAAAGAAATCATTTTCCAGTGAATGAACTTTTAGTTAACTTGGTGTGAAATATTTGCAGCTTGTGGCTCCAAAACATGTTCATTACATTTTTCTTTTCAGCTGACCAAAAGTGCTGGAGCTCCCTACTTGGGTTGCTAGGTAACTGCGCCTGGTTTTTAAGCGGTTAATTTTTAAAACACCTAGAAACATTAACAGCCAAGAAACTGCTTTTTTTAAAAAAAAAAAATGCAAATATTGAGACCTGAATGAAAGTTCAAAATGTCCAAGAAAATGAGCAAAAATGACAAAGAGAAAATGCCTACATTCTGGCATAAATTGGTTTAAAATGATGAATTCAAAGGGTACAATACACAAACAGTATACTTTATTAATATCACATAGATATGAAAAATGACTTGCTCTGAAAAATAAACCTTTGATACATTTTTAAGAAAATAAATTAAATATTCTGACTACAGCTTAATAAACTGTTGTTGGATAAGGAGGTGGTCTCTGCCGGTACGTCCCAACATGCTAACGTCTAATAATGGGAACCTACAGAAATAAAGTTAAATAATAAAGATTACAGAGGACCAGAACAGTTTACATGGAGGGTGGGAACACAATCCCTCCACCCTTTGCAGTCTTTGGCAACGTCTGCATGCCATAAACAGCTACCAGTGGGAGTGGGATGGAGAACGGTAGTGGTCAGCATTCCTAACAAATGCATCTTTAACAAACACAACCTGAGTCGGAGCTTTAAACCAGCCCTTCTGTGAACCTTTAGTACCCTTTTCGTTTGCATCCTCCGTGCTCGTCGGATCCAAATATCTGTTTAGGAAAACCCAAAGTGGTGTGAGGTTCTAACGGGTAGAAAAAGCACCAGAATGTGAAGTTTTGTTGGGTAACACACACTTTTCTGGGTTTTCCAAGCAAGCGTTCTGGATGAAGGATGGCAGTTCAGGCTAACACTGAAAATGGATGTGCTGGTGCTGGTGCACCTTCCCGTCCACGTGGGAGTGGGTGTGAGTGTGGATGTCCGTGTAGATTTTGGGGTAGATTTTGGGCGGGACGCTGGGTCCGGCCTGGCTGAGGAGCAGCTGCTGCTGGGCCAGGTAGTCCTCGTAGTTCAGGCAGTCTTTGTCCGGGCTGGAGGAGCTGGAGGACGGCGGCGGGCAGCCCCGGTCCCGCTCTCGGTACGGCGCGCGGTGGGAGCTCTGCGGCGGCGCGGCGCTGGGAGGCGGGCAGTGCTTCCTGCTCTGGCAGAACCACAGCAGGACCGTGGCGAAGATGAAGACTATTCCAGCCGGGATGCCGATGATGACGGGCCAGGGGAGGGAGCTGGTGTTGGACGGGAGCAGGGAGACGGGCGGCTTCGTGTCTGCAGAGAGAGGAAACATAAATATGGAAGATCTCAACCTGATTCATGAATAAACGACTGCTTAAATATTGCAGGTGTTGGTTTGAAACATTTACATATGACATTATAATGCGTCAATATTACATTAGAACTACCTTAATATTTAATTCCCTCCACTGAGTCAGAAAAACACAGATTACTTTGAACCAAAATCTGCCTGTGTTTTGCTTACACTGCAAAAACACAGAATCTTAACAAGGTATTTTAATTTAGTTTCAGGTGCAAATATTTTATTACAGATAAAACAAAATTATAACTAAATTTTCAGTAAGAAACACAAGTTTCTTATCAGTAAATAATTCCTTAATACTGATGAAACATTTCTACTTTCACTGGCAGATTATTTTACTTCTAACACTGATAAGTGAAATTATCTGCTTTGGAACTAGAAAATTTCAACTTTTGAAAATTTAAAAAAAGTATTTTTTTTCCTTTTTAATCTGAAAGTTAATTGTTTTTTTTAGTTATTTTCTCACAAGTTGTAATTTTTTTCGTTCAGAAATTTCAACGGTTTTTTTCCCTAGATAATATAAGAATCTCAAAATCTCAGATTTTTTGACAAATTCAAATTCTGATACTAATATCAGATTCTTTTTAAAATAAGTAAAGACATTTCAGAGTATTTCTATCAAATTTTAGAGCTCAGTAATTGTCAAGGTTTTTTCTAGATTTTTTTTTTTTTTTTTGCCTAATCTCAAAATTTCTCGTTTTTTCACAAATTTTTGACTTTTGGAAATCAGACAATCTTTCTAGAACATTTCTGTGATTAATCTGATTATTGATTATTGGAACAGTGTCTTCAGAGGCTTGTCCAATAAATCAATCAAACAGCCGCAGCTGATCCAGAATGCTGCTGCTCGCGTTCTCACTAAAACCAGGAAAATAGAGCACAAAACACCAGTTTTAAAGTCCCTCCACTGGCTCCCTGTAGCTCAAAGAATAGATTTTAAAATACTGTTGTTAATTTACAAATCACTGAACTGTTCAGCACCACAATACATCAAAGATCTGCTGTTGTTGTATCAACCCTCCCGACCTCTCAGATCTTCTGGTTCTGGTCTGCTCCGCATCCCCAGAACCAGAACCAAGAGAGGAAAAGCAGCTTTCAGCATCTATGCACCAAAAATTTGGAACAAACTTCCAGAAAATTGTAAAACAGCAGAAACCCTGACTTCCTTTAAATCTCGACTAAAAACCTACCTGTTTAGAATTGTATTTGAAACGTAATCAATTATAAATTTAATCACGGAACTTGACATATTGTCATGTTTTGATTGTTAATTTTATGTTGCACAATGATTTTGTGTTTTTGTTATGATGTAAAGCACTTACAATGTGTAAATGCGATACAAATAAAATTTGATTTAATTTAGAAATTTTGGAACATTTCTCACAAATTTTAAGCTTTTCAAGCTCAAAGTTTTTTGGATTTTTTTAGAATTATTTTCGACTGAATGTTTTTTCTAAAAAAAAAAAAAAAAAAAAAAAATCAGGCTCAGAAATGTACAAGTACAGTTTTCTAGAAAATGTTCTAAAGTAACTTTTGTTAGTTTTGTGGCGTGAATTTGCCGCCGGCATCTCACCGGGCAGCACCGTCAGGAAGGCGCTGCGGAAGCTGTAGCCCATCGTGTTGGCGCCTAAGCAGATGTACATGCCGGCGTCGTCCTCCTTGGCGCGGGTGATGAGCAGCTTGTTGAGGTAGGAGCCGTCGGGCCGGGACCAAACCTCCCCGGTGGGCAGCACCACGAACCTGTGGTCCCCCACCTCGATGGTGGAGTTATAGCGGCTCTCTTCGTGGGACTCCACGCGCTTCAGCCACTGGATGACAGGCTTGACGTCACTGCGCACTTTGCACTGGAGGGACGTGGTGCCGCCGTAGTCCACCGTGGTGTTCACCGGATGCGTTCCGGTCAGAACCGGTTTGGAGCTCGTCCTTTCTGCAACGAAAAGAACCGTCACAAACATTGTTTTAGTCCAAAGTAGGGACGCAAATAATTCATCGTTGATTAACGTTTTACTAGTTTAAATTTCATTCCGATCGATTAGCTAACAACGTCGTTTAGAGACTAAATGTTATTGTAGTTTGGCCGCCGTCCTACAGAGGGCGCCGCTCGTCGTCTTTAAGTGGACCTGTTGATCCGTTAGAAAAGATGGCGGACAACTAGAATGGATAAAAGACAGTCAGGTTTGGGATATAAAATGCGCTTTATGCGGCTCTTTTTTAAAATATAAACACGCGACAAGCTTATCAGGTTATTACATTAATAGCGTTTTTGTTAAATAATTACCAAAGGGGAGGATGTGGCGATAGAAAAGCAG